TCAACAATAATACTAGTCGTCGTTATGGAACACAACCTGCACTTCGTCATTGAACTTCAACCTTCTTCACTGGAAATGGGGAGGAGTGTAATTGGGCCCAATTGATGGTTTGTTGTAGCAGCTTTTCCCTAGATTCGTCCAAAAAAGCCTTCGCGTTCTTGCCTAGTGTCGTATTAGCAACCTTTGCCTCCACGACAATCTGACCTAATTTTGCTAGGCTTGTAGAAAGTAATGATGCGAATGGTAGAAATAGATGGAGTTCAAGGAAAATAATGGAGGAAGATTGAAGAGATAGTGGTGGAGAATCAAATCCCAGTATTCCAAGAACCCTAAATCGCGAACAGAGAGGAAAAAGCATAGGAAGGGGGGTTTATTCTGGAGAGAGAGAGAGAGGGGGGTAACTTTACTCTTTTGTTTGATGAAAATATGTGGACGAGGGAAGGTAATTTGATAAAATATTATAAAACAACAATATAATAATAATAATAATAACAACCACTAACGACCAAATTTTCTTAATAACGAGAGGTAGTGAGTTTAATAACGAGGATAAAGTTTAGTCCCTCGTTAATTGTATTGTCAAATTCTAAAAGCTACCGATAATGACCAAATTTCATCCCCTCGAGAAAATTTCCCCTCGTTGAAGCTCATTTTTTTCTAGTGCACACTAGAAACAAAAAAAAAATGTATAGACCAAATATCTAATGACAAATACAAGAAGTTCAAGATACCAAATCAGTAACCCACAAAGCAAACCAGAAAGATGAGAAACCACACCAAAAACCCATTGAAGAAACGAGAATACGTTAAAACCAACCAAAAACAAAAACGAAGAATATCCAATTATAGACCGCAAATCTAATGAATATACTAGTAAGAGCGTGTACCGAATCATAAAGATAAGAAGCCAGACCATAAATCATACCGAAGAAATCAAGCCAAAGTGGACCAAAATTGAATAAGCCCAATCTTCAGTCTCTTCAGAAGACGAACGAAACTCAAAAATGGATCAGAAATAGAAAGAGGACAACAAATGTACCGAAGCTACCACACCACAAGTATCATTAAACTATCCACAAGATTTCTGAAGCTAACTAGAAACACCATAAAGCATAACATAAAATGCAAGAAACACACTAGTTTCCGAAACAGTTGATTTAAATTCTAACAAAAGAATAGAGACCATTCCATTAAACTTTGACTCGTTTATACATAAACTAACACTTACATACAAGAAAATGTATATTAACTAAAAAATAATGTCAACATTCCATTAGATATACTTCAAACTTTCTTTATAATACTTCAAACTTTTTTCCATGAGCTCTTCAAGTAAGGTATTTCCTGGATCTAGCAGCAACTTTAAAGTCGTGTCGCCCCTCCTCTGATTGATTATAGATGGGGTTCTTTAGGTCCTCATGAATTCTCTTATTCACTTTCCCAATACTCATTGTAATCACGCTGCATGTAGTTCCACCTTTATGCCTCACCACTTGTGGGGCATCCTATTCAAACTTGTTGAAGTCAATCTCTTCATCTTAACATACCCTGATATATGCAATGGTAAACTTGACAATCCTTTCTCTGAATTTCTTGTATGCCTTCAGGCTTTCAAGGTCGATGATATCCAAGAAATCATACTTATTATCTTTCAAATTGACAACATATATACTATAGTGGAGATGAAGAAAGATCCACTTCAAACCTAGACAAAAAAGAAATGCATATAACTTATTATAGGATGCAGAACAAAATAAATATATGCACTACAGAAACCAATAAGCAAGAAGAAATACTCACAAAGTCACATTTACTGGAGTTAAATTATGTGGGATCCATTTGATGTATGCAATTCTTCGTCAACCTCTATGAAGTAATATGACTCTTAAGCTCCCTCTTCAATTTGACATAGAGTTATTTCCTAGAAATTAAATATAATGCAGTAGAGTTGATAAATGAATGGAATGAGTTGGTTAGTGCATTTGTAGGCGTCTTAAGATTCTTCGTGTAAATCACAGTTAATAATGTAGAGAAGATCCAAATTTTGAAGTTCCTTGTCTTTGCTAGTTGCCGATTAAGGTAGTCGGAGTAAAAACCAATAAAAGCATTGGAAACACACTGATCGTGTGCCAATATTTTTGTTTTTAGCCTTTTGAGGGAGCAATGCCCATTCCGATGACTCATTGGAAGCTATTTCCTATTGTTCCACATTTTCATGTCAAAAGTCATTAGCATATATGTCACAAGTATCATGAACCATATCAGAAGCACAACAAACCACATTACAAATAACATAAAGTAGACCAAAACCTCACCACAACGCAAAATTTATAAAGAATAAAAGAAAACTCAAGTAGAGAACAAGTTTCCTAAAACAAAGCATAAAAGAGATAAAGTTGGTCACAAGTTTCATAAAATTAACATACCAGAAAACCCATGCAACAGACAAGAAATACGATAAACCATTACACAAAACTAATAAAGTAGACCAAAAACTTAGTAAAACATTCAAAAATTGTATAAAGACACCAGTTTCACTTACTTGTTCACGTACTTCCTCATGTACTTTAGGAAAACTATCTGCACCAGTTTCTCCTCCTTTGTTGGAGCTACACCACTGATGAATAGATCTTGCTTATCTTGGGGACGAGGGTTTCTTTCTTCCTTGTGGCCTTGGCGCTTTCACGCTTCCGCTTCTTTGTGCTTGGCCTCTTTTTATCCTTCTTCCTATCCTCCTCCTCATCAGTAGTCATTTTGCAACCTAGACAAATAAAAACACAAATGGTTAGTTAAGTTATACGAAAAAAGATCAGACGACACACCATAAAACCCACAAAGCATACTAGAACATACACATTGAGGATCATAAAAAGGAGAATCCATACAACAATAAAAAGGTAGAAGAATATATCTTTCTTAACCTGATAATAAATATATTTTTCTTAGGTGCAACTGCACCACCATTCAATTCAGTCCAGAGTCCAGACAAATGAAAATTTTCATATCATGAAAGTCACAAAGCAAGCCAATGACACCACGAAGTACTAAAGCACATAAAAAACAAGAAATGATGCCACAACTATTCTAATAATACACTGCAAATATAATAAACCACACCACAAACTATTATAGTTTATATATTGCTTGTGATCTCGTTAAACTTGTCGACATCAATGGCTTGATCCTCATTTTTTATTGTTATTTTAATGAACTATTTGAAAACATCTTACACCTCCATGCAACTTATCAACATCTTCCTTATTGTTGTTTGATTCTTTCAAAGGAGTTGTTTGTGCTGCAGTCTAGAAAAACATACCACAAATAAAACCAAGCACACCAGAATAGTCATAAAGCATACAAAAAACAATACAAAGCAGACAAGAAACACAATGGAGGACCCGCACCACACTATTCCATACCAAAAAGACAAAACCCACACAAAAATAGATGACCTGGGGACAAATCAAAAGGCACAAAGTGGTGAATCTCAATGACTATTTGGGAATAAACACATGAACCGTCTCAACAATACCGACATTCACCACAAACGATATTCGTTTACATCAAGAATGGGCAAATGAAAAGTTCTCACCCTGCTCACAAATCAATGCAAGTCTCGACAGGACTACTCACCAACCACAACTAACCATGCATAGAAATCAAGTCCAAGAAAGAAGGAACAAGCAATGGGGCGACATAGGTTCTCACCAGGGTAAGATATGAACATGCAAAACAAGAATGAATCAATCACTCTCGACTAGTGGGGTCATGACATTTTTGGTGCAAAATATGTGCACAATCATCAACACTTAACCCTATCGCCTCTCCACCACGGCGGCAACCTCTAAATGCTAGAGTTCACGGGACGGTTATCATCCCTAGTTTGTCCGGAGGTCTTATACATGGGTTCAAATGACTTCCATTGTCTTGGACATGAGGAAAAGGCTTTTTGGGTGGTGGAAAACATGGCATTAGGTCCTACATCTTCAAACTAAAACCCAAGGTTCTATGGTCTCGACTAAGAACCTTTCCTACAAACAAAGGCCACTAGCATTGGCCAAAAACCACACTCCCTTCTTCCAAACCACTACCAATCACGAACTGCATTCAAGGACACTTCTCCGACCTATTTTGCTATCCACATTTCGAACCTAGTAGTAAAAGAGGTCATCAAACAATTTAGGTGTTCCATTGTCTTGAGTGCCAAGAAACCCTTTGTAGAGCATACACTTAGACTCTTGTGGCCACTCTCTACTTTTATTTACCTCGTTTTATTACCTCTTTTTCACTTCTTTGAATGAACAATGCTCTCCATTAAGAACTTTCCACAACACTACCTTCTCATTTCTAGCAAGAACCGTGCAAAACCACCTATGTAGAAACTCAATGGAGCTCAAAAGTGAAACCTCGAGACACAAGGATAACTCACACTTTGACACGAAGAAAGGATGGTTGGGGGTCGTTCTTTCAATTACCATTAAGCTCAACAAGCATGAAGCTCCTAGAATTAGAACGACCCCCAAAGTCGCACGGCTCAAAGAGGTTGACTAGGGGATAAAATGTTTTGGGACAATCAACTTCTGGGCGTGGACTAATCCTATGCCTCCATCATACTCACTTATGAACAACAATGAATGTTACACACCATGGCGAGAGGGATCTATCACACATGAAAAAGACGATCAGCACAAAACTCACATGGCTACCTAGCCACCCAATTATCTATTCCAATTCAAAATAATTCAATTCATGGAAATTGTAATAAAGAAGTAACCAAGTCAAGACATCCATTCATTCAAGCACACATGAGAACTAAGCTTTTGCACAACCCTAATGCATTCTCAGTCATCATAATAGGATGCACTCGATTACATGTAACAATTCAAGATCGATGCCAAATAAGCATGAGATTCACCCCCAACCGGCCATTTTAATCATGCATTGCTTGGAGCCCTCAAAATTTTCAAATTTGGTATACAACAAGGCTCCAAGCATTCACTCACACACACAAGCATAATAGTAAACTACCCCCCCCCCCCCCACACACACACACACTTAAGCTCGTCATTGGCCTCAATGTCATAAAATAAGGGGTAGAACGATGTTACCGCATGGCTTGGTGAATGATAGTTGGAGAAATTCCCGGGGTAGGATGTTTGAGCTTCAAGGGAGAAACAAAAAACAAAGCACAAACACAACACATTCTCGCTCAATGCGAGGTTATTACACATATTAAGGGTTCACAATACGATTAAACATAAAGAACTCACAAGGTACTAGTTCACACAAAACTTAAGGAGAAAATAAAAATAACAATAAAAACAGTTCAGAGTATGCAAGTGGAGAAGGGGGGTGAATGAAATCGGCTCTGCCACGTGTCCTCCTAGATGGCTACCTCGTCATGGCAAGCTCACTCCTCGTCATCGGAGAGGACGCCCTGGCAGTGAGCCATCCTCTCTACCTGATCGGCGGTGCGGTCAAGCTGAGTGGTGACTCCCACATAATGTGCCTCGAGGCAATCCACTCGCTCCTCGAGGTGTGGTTCGGAGGTAGTGGGTCCGACCCCTGATTATGATGATGCTACTGATGAAGGTTGTACTTCAGGTTGCCGGCGTAAACTTTGTTTTTGCCACATCCATAAATTGCTCAATCTTCTCGAACTTTTTAGTGCTCGTGCTCACAAAAGTGGTCACAAGGTCTTCAAGTTTTGCAAACTTATCAGGTTGTTGGAACCCTTGACCTCTTTGAACTTGAAAGGGTTGCTGGAAGTTCGAGCCTTGGAATTGCGGCCTTTGTTGAATGAAAGTAGGCCTTGGTTGGTAATTTGTTGTTGGTCCAACATTAATTTAACTAGGATTGGTTAGACTTCACCCTCGAATCGGAGTTCGGACAGCCACCCACAATCAAACCCTAGGTGCTAATACAAAATATGAGGTTTGCCCAGCATTAATTTAACTAGGAGACAATGAATTTCCTAAGAAAACCCAGCATTCAAGCCTCTTTCAAAGAAAGGAAGGGGGTTTTCTCTCTACCTAGGTTAGAATGGCAATTAGATTGTTAGGCTTTCACAAAACACAATCATTCATGAATAGTACCTCCACATTCACATTAAACACAACCACAAACAAATCATTCAATTCATACAAGCATTCACATAATTGTAGCTAGGGTTTACAAGCACCCAAGTGAAAGAAGGGACTACTCCATGCTAGGAGAAGGGAAAACACAAGTGAGAAGAAAGAAAACCATCAAAGAGATGCTAGCCTTTCTCCTTGTGTTGAAGAGATCCTCCTTTGGGGGGAGAATTCCCAATTCCTTGCTTGAAGATGAAACCCTAGCTTCTCCTCTTCTTTGGTTTGTCACTTTCTCACTCTAAAAATTCGAAGAAGAAGAAGAAGAAGAAGAAGAAGAAGAAGAAGAAGAAGAAGAAGTTTCTCACACTAGATCTCCCTCTTTCTCCTTTGGTTCAACCTCCTTTCTATACCCAGATTGGGCTCAGTTCACAGCTGTGAACTGAAAGCACAGACCGTGAACCAATGATGAAACGCGTCGCATCACTAAACTCTGTTCACGGACGGAGGTCTGAGTTCACGGTCTTACGACCGTGAACTGGCTTGTGTCTAGTGAAACCCTTATGTGCTCTGGATGTCTGGGAGTTCAGTGGGAGTGCCTCCAGTTCACGGTCTTAGTGACCGTGAACTGCTGCTGTTTCCACCGTTTGACTTGATCTTTCGCCCTTTCGTCCAACTTTCGACTTCGGGGTTGGTTCGACCTGCCAAAGCCTAAAACATATCAAAACAAGGCACAACCCGGCGTAAAACCAAACCTCCCGGAGTAAAAGATAATTCAAACGACTAAGCATACCGGGGGTAAAAAGTGTACAAATGAGCCCGAGTCAAAGTTCATGAACCGGTGTTGTCCACCTTCCAAAACGGCGGAATACAGAAAGAAACACGAGACAGGGGAGGGGGGGGGGGGACAATATCTGGGTGAACTTTTCACAAATCGAATTCACCACAATTTACTTTGTTTGCTTGTTTTCGACTGTAGTTCCTTATCTTTTCACCACAAACCGTTTGTTAGATAATATATAAACGATTGATGTAGAGGTACATAGTCCGCCTTGAGTTGATATTAAAACACTTTATTCTGCACCCGATCGTTGGTTATAGTTGGCCTTCGATTGATAATTATGTAGTTAGGTTCGAGTAAGGTACGGAGGTGCGGGAGATTGGTCTTCGCAACGAAGTAGAGGAATCGAGGAGGAGAGGAAACAGTTTTAAGGGAAATGGGGTAGAGTATGGTTGATAGTATGTTTTGATGGGCTAACAAGACGATAACTACTGATATAGGCTATAAATATAAAAGAAAAAATCTATAATTAGTGTTAATTGGGTGCCAATACTTGGACTGAAAATTCACATCGGAGATGAGTGTTTCTTATGAAATCGAGAAGGCGAAAAAGAAATCAAGTATTAGTCGGAGTTCTGTAAAATCAAGAATGCTTTCTTATTTTGTAATGTTCACACGTCACTACGCTGACTAACCCAAACTAAACCTTTACTATAGGTCCAACCTAAACTCGAGTTGGGTGTTACAAAAACTCGAGGGGTCGTTTGGATGAGAGATTTTAATAACGAGGGATTTTGATTAAAATCTCGCGTTTAAAATACCAGGGAATTTGTATGCAGGATTTGATAGAAATAACTCGTTTGGATTAAACACAGAATTTTAACCTTAAAACTTAAATTACAATAATATCCTTTGTCATCTTCCCTCGTGTTCTTCGTTTGTAATCAAACTAACAATCAATTGTTCTTCCCCTGCTTCTACACCAATTAATCATACTGCTTTTCTTACCTGCTTCCATCACAAACCCATAATCCCATTATTGTTTGCAGATAAAAGAAGAAGATAACAAACTCAGAATCAGAAACAATAAGAACCCCAATCCAAAATTGAATATACATCTCACTCCCTTCCAATCCCAAACGACCCTAGCTGGTTACCGCTTTTGTATTCCACTTCATATGACTCGAGTTCGCTAGTCTATCGATTGAAACCCAGATTGGGTGATTCCCCCTTCTCTATCCATCTGACCCCTCAGATTCCCTCACTTCTTCTCGACTCTTAACCAGGCACATTCAAACAACAAATCAGCACCGACGTGGGGATGTTTGCGGCGGGACCATCGATCAACAAATCGACAAGCGGAGCTGAAGCCTGCTTGTCGTCTTTTGGAGCTCTTCGATCACGGCCGTAGTGATGGTGACTGAGGGTCAATGGCATAGGACAACGACGAAGGTTGATAGATGTGGTGGTGGTTGGCGAAATCTGGATGCTGCTTAGGATGCTATGCGTCGGCGGTTGAGGGTGGAATGATTGGAGTAATAAGGTCGGTCAGAGAAGAAGGAAGAAGAGTTGAATGGAGGGTAGGTTTTGGAATAAATAAAAGAAGAACGAGAGATTTAGAAATAGCTGATGGTGATCAGCTATTTCTAAAACCCACGATTGAGAGTTTTAAAATTCCTAATTGTAAAATCCTTCATCTTTCCCAAACGCATAATTGTATTAAAATCCTGAAGAATTAGAGATTGTGTTTAAATCCTTCTGAAATCACTCATCCAAATCTCTAATCCAAACGACCCCCGAGATTCTTTCTCGAAACATTCTAAACCAGGAAATCGCCATCCTACTCCGTTCTCTATCTCAAGTCTCAACCCCTCCCCAAAAATTTCCTCAAATGATCCTCAGCGGCTCAGCCCACTCCCCCAATCTAATCGCTTCCTTGTTGTGAAACCATAACATGCAATCATCCGCCGTATCCCCAACTCCGTCGTCGCTGTTCCTGCAGAAATCTCACCCTTTCCCGCCTAAATTCAACTTCCTCCTCCGCCGGAACCCACTTCTTTGCCGGCGTACCCGTCGGAAAATGGCTTCCTCTGCTTCTGAGTTTAGTATAAAGTCGCAATTTAGTGCAGCTTCGGAGACTGTCGATGGAGCCTACACTTTGATAGAATACATGGGAAAGGGAGGAATCGGTTTGGGAGATGATTTAGTTGTTCTGTTTGATCATTTACAGTACGCTTGCAAGAAAATTAGTGCGGTCGTAGCTTCCCCTTTCAACTCCAACCTCGGAAAGCATAACAAGGCAGCTGGCAGCGTTGGTTCGGAGAGGGATGCACCGAAACCGCTCGACACAGTGTCCGTACGTCTCGTCCCTCTTTTCCCAGGTTGCTCACAGTCGATAGGAGACGGATGGTTGTTCTCAATTCATTTCATGCGTTTTCATTTTCGTTGGCGGAGGACTATCTATAGCTAATTTCAGTCCAAAATTGAACTTGCTACTAGTCATTTATTTGTTTATATGACCCTAGTAGTTCATTCCAGAGGTTGAATAGACCGCGGGAATTGGCTGTAGAGTTTGTTGGTTTGCGTTATGCTGCTTTGGAAGTCGATCCTTGCCCTAGATATGGTCATATGGTATGCCTTTGCAGTAGCGGACTTCAACTAATTTGTAGTAGACTTCTGGTAGCAGAAAGGCCCGGTCTTTTTAGTGGTTACTTTCATTTTGTGCCCAGGTTATGCTCCCTAATAATCTGTCTCCAACACTAATCGTGATTGCCTCCCTCATAGCTCAGTTGGTTTCTTTCTGTGTAGAACGAGATCATATTGTCATGCCTTCGAAATTCGGGAAAGGTCGCCGTCATGGCTTCTGAAGAAGATGACAAGCCGGTTTGGATACAGGATGATGGAGCATTTGTGGTGGTAACAGATCCCCTTGATGGTTCCAGGAACATAGACGCCTCCATTCCAACAGGAACTATATACGGGGTATACAAGCGCCTGGTGGAACTTGATCATCTACCTCAAGAGGAGAAGGCTATGCTCAATTCCTTACAGAGTGGAACTAGACTAGTAGCTGCTGCTTACATTCTCTATTCATCTGCTACCATACTTTGCACCAGCTTTGGTTCTGGAACGCATGCATTTACCTTGGATCGCACTACAGGGGATTTTGTTCTGACGCATCCTGGGATTCAAATTCCTCCTCGAGGTAATTTGTTTGTAGGTTTCTTTCCATAAATAAAAATCCATCCTTGAAATGGTCTCTATATCTAGGGCGCTTCTATAGTTGCATCAAGTGTAAATTAAGAGGAACTAGAACTGTCTGATCTATGCACTTGCCTTGGCCATAGTTCTCAACTGGAATGTTCTTGTTTGTTGTGTGCTATACTCATTCTGATCCCATGGTTCTGAAAAATGAGCATTTACTTACTTTGATTTCCTTGCAGTCTTGTACACTTTTTGTTGGCCATTTAAACATGTTGAGTTCTCTGACTTGGGCGGTAGTTAGCTCTAGGAAATGCTACAATGCCCATATATCAGTGCCAAATCAGTTCATTTCCCAATGTATTTTTAAGCTGGGGATTTTTTATTGCCATCTCAAGTTTGATTTGCTGATTGGTCGTGTTCTCTTTTACACTCAGGCCAAATTTACTCTGTGAACGATGCACGGTATTTTGACTGGCCTGAAGGATTAAGGCATTATATCGATACTGTGAGGCAAGGGAAAGGAAGACATCCTAAGAAATATTCGGCCCGTTACATATGCTCCCTTGTTGCTGATTTGCATCGCACATTGCTGTATGGTGGTATTGCAATGAACCCAAGGGATCATCTTCGGCTTGTTTACGAGGCTAATCCACTGAGTTTTCTGGTGGAGCAAGCCGGTGGGAAAGGTTCCGATGGTAAGGGTAGGATTCTTTCCCTCCAACCGGTGAAGCTGCATCAAAGACTTCCTCTGTTTCTTGGAAGTCCAGAGGACATAGACGAGCTGGAGAGTTATGGAGATGTTCAGCAGAGAGTAAATCCTGGTTACGAAGTTTGAATGTCATTCTTATCGCAACTCGTATGGACTTTAAAATCTTAATGGACTCTCGAGATCTTAGTCTTTGGCCTTTTCCGTCTTTGATAATGTGAAGGGGGTCTGCTTCCTCTTGCCTGCTAATCTGAAATCTCCATGGCTGTCGACGATCAGCGGCAAGCTGACGTGAGTTGTGTTTATGGCTGTTTAGTGTCGCAACTCGTAACATGCTATGCTGGATGCGCTAGTGCCTAGTGCCCTTTGTAGATAATTCTGGTATCTTATGCAAGTATCTGTGTGTTCCCATCGCTACTTATTTTTGTCTAGCGTAAATAATAGTTAGTATACCTTTAGTATCATCTATTCAACCATGTATTCAACCATCCTATGTTCATACCAACATGATAGTCTTTTCATATCATATGATGCTCTTATTTCAATACCAGTCAATATCATATGGTATAAACGGATAAAAAATGACTCAATTTTTTTTTTCAAAAATATATCAAAATGTATATCATTTTGAAGAACACAATTAATTTTATCTAACTGTGGAAAAAAAAATTAAATTTCGACTTAAAACGATTGAGAAATCGTGCATTAAAGATTAATAGGCCAAAATTAAAGAATTTCCAAGAGAGAGAATGAACGCTGATGTGGTGAATGATGATTGGATTATGCAATGATTACTCATTACATGATTACTGACCGGATCTGTTCCTCTGATGCAGTTTATGTTGGTCGAGCTCAACGAGGAGCCAAAACATCAGACAAGTTTAAGCCAAAACAAAAGCTGCTAGTATTAAAGGAAGTATGTTCACTTTCATTTTCAATTTTTGTTTTGTTTCCATTTCATAAATGGTAAAATACACTTTCATAGTCATAACTATATACTTTATGACAATAATAGTCAAATTTTGAAAAATACACTAAAATAGCCATTCCGTCCATAACTTTAACGGAAATATACAAAATGCGGACTAGACTAACATTATTTAATGACGTGGCATTTTTTGGTAAAAAACCATACCATGTGGATATGGCTATTTTCTTATTTTTATTGTAATTAGATGAAAAATAAATAAATCAATCAAAAACTACGGTCTTCCTTCAAAACCCTCCCCTCCCCCTTTTTTTCTTAGGGGACGTTTGGAAGTTGTGATTGTTATAGTTGTGTTTGTTGAATACAGGTATTATGCACAATACAATGTTTGGAAGTGCCAAAGTGTTAAACAATGCATGCATTGTTTTAGGTAGGTCCCACCAACAATCACAAAAAATGATGCATTATACAATCTCAACTAAAAGTTGAGATTGTTGTGATTGTTGGTTTTAGATTTGTGTCAACATTTTCTTTCCATTTATATCTATAATAGTTTTTGTCTTATTCTAAAAGTTGAGGGTAAATGTGACATTTCCCCATAAAAGTAATTTTATGTAAATCAATGCATAAAATAGAATCTCAACAACCAAACAATGTATTGTTCAAATGCATCCATTGTATCAATACATATATTTATATCATGGTGATTCATTACAATGCAACGATCTAACATTCGCAACTTCCAAACGACCCCTTAGTTGTTTCTTCCTCTCCGCCGTCGTCATCGACGAACTCGAAGGAGCCAACCAATGCTGAACTACTGGATCCCACACTCCATAGATCCGAAACCATCACCGGCACAGCTCGAGTTCTGCCCTCGACACAATTGCAAAAACCACTCACCTCCTCGCCTCTCAGCATCATCCCTTCGCCTTTTTCCTTATCTTTCCAGTACGATCCCGCCAGGAAGATGACGAGAGCTACGGAATCAAAGATGGATCTCGATCGAAGGATTGGCTTCTCGCATCTCCTCGTGTTCTGCTTGCTCATCTTCCTCTTCGTCCTCTCCTGCTGAAATTGCGCTGAAAATTGCACACCCAGTATTAGACGGCGCCGATGAACCCAAATCCCTAATATTTCCGCCGCCACCCTCAAAATCCCCAACTTCGACCGACCTGATTTTGTCGACATCCTCACCAGCATCCATTGGCGGATTCAGAAAATTTTCACAATAGTGTCCTCTTCAAAAATTTAATTTAATTATATAATAAATTAAATAATTCGTATATTAAAAATATCATACTTGTATAATTTGTATAAATTTTTTATTAAATAATAAATTAAAATTCATATTTTGAAAAAAATAATATAAATAAACTCCGTGTCTGCACTGTTCAAAAAAAAATCTACATATCCTACTAGACAATACTTCACGAACTTATCACATATTCGATTTCTAACCTTGTTCTTAATGTAGCCCAAAGTAGAAAAGACTCTTTCAACACTTGCCGTGTAACCATAAAATCAATTCAAAATTAAGGGTAGCGTGTACGTAGTTTAATTATTAGGTATTGAAAATAGTTGGGATAAAGAAATAGCGTTTTACTGTTGCATGATGTTTAAAATAGAATAACAAATGAGTAGCAACATAATTAGAATATGTTTGATAATAGTAGTGTCCTAGGTTGGAATAACACGGACTACCACTTATATTTTGTTAATCATAAGCAAACTATTATTGAGGGTAGGATAATCATTTTTTTCAAATGTTACCAATTATATTTAGTATACCTATACGAAACTACTACCGGAGGTTGGATAATCGTTTCCCAAATTTTAGGGGTGTCCCGGGACAACCCTAGAAGCCCATGTATCCGCCCCTGCCAGCATCCACCCACTGAAAAAATCTGCAATTTTCTTTCGAATCCTACGACACCTCCAATCCTCAGCTACCAAAGATACAAAAAAAAAACATCCAGGGTTCATCGCAAATCAGCCGTAACTCGCCGCATTCCTCCGACCAGACCTCCGCGACATGGTTCGGCTAGGAGAAGAGGCGACAGTCGGGGAATTTGGGGACTGCTGCTGGGAGAGAGGCGTCGGTGGTACGGGAAATTGGGGAGGGTGTCGGTGATCGGGGGAATTGGGGAGGATGATGGGGACCAGGCTATAGGCGCCGACGCCGGTTGGTTTCGGCCGGAAACCTAGCTGCAGATGAGGGGGGGGGGGGGGGTTTATTTCGCGAAAAAGGAGAAGGATGGGAGTGAGCTGACGAGGGATGAGGGGTAATTAAAGGGGAAACATTATTACTTTTTTTAATAATTCTCTTAATGGAATCCTAGTCAGCGCTGACATGGGCAAACCGAGTCTAGTTGGCGATGACATGTAGTACAGGTGGAAGCCACGTCAGCTGACAATGACGTCGTTCGTGATGATGTTAACGACATTAACGGAAATGGCTAAAGTTGACGATTAAGTTATAGAAAATTTTGATTTTTGGCTATTTTAGTGTATTTTTTAAAATCTGGCTATATTTGTCATAAAGTTGATAGTTTTGGCTATACAGGTGAATTAAGCCTTCATAAATCTGGCAACGGAATTGAAAAAACCTATTTACTTCCATTTCATGTTTCCATTTTATAAATAGGGAATGAGAACGAGAAAAAATGTTTACTTGTCATTCTGTTTTAAAAAAAAATGGCAGTTTCAATATTCATCAATTTTCAATATATGTTTTCTCACTGATTGAACGGTATATTCAAATATGTACACATTAATTGAATTGAAATCTCAAGTCATGTTTGGAACAAATTTATAATTCAAATAAATGAAAGTCTACCAAAATGTACCCTTAATTTAATAACTAAATCACCTAGAACATGATGTGTTTTCAAAATCAATCATTGAAAACATGTTACATGCAGTTGAAAAAATAACAATTTTACCATTACTCAGCTTATTCAAAATTTCCATTGAAAATGTATTCATTTGCATTTAAAACAAAAACATTTCATTTCAAAATGAATATGTAAAAACTTATCGAATTTATCTATATTAGACACTATGTTAGATTTGTTTTCAAAAGCTCACTATAAAATTTATATCTATCCAATTTCTTCTTGAATAAAATAAAGTTTCCTTCTCCTTACAATCCAGATCACCTCACATGACGTCCCTCGAGTTCGAAGAACATATAATGATCGAGGTTCAAAGATTAAGGCTCTAGAGGATCGAAAAGGTAAAGTGAAAGGCCTATTTGGCCGAGAGATTACCAACGATGGAGTTGGAGCTGTTCGAGGGTCAAGGCAGGGCCGTAGGCCAAGTTGGATGAAGAAGCCAAGTCCCCGGCCAACAGAGGACAATCCCTAATCGGGGATTGAGGAAACTGATCAGGGATCACGTCCAGCTGGACCCCCGAAAATGAACACTCAAATCCCCGATAGGGGAATAGCATGGTCTTGAGCGGGGATCAGGCACTGAGCTGTTGTTGCTGTGTTTTTCTATTTCGTTTTGGACCTATTTAAGTGTCACTTTTGCACTCGTTTTTAGGGTTATTTTGCTACTCCAATATAAGAAGATGAGGTCTATTGTACAAGGCTCTTATCAACTAGATGATCACATCTGGTCATGGCGAGCAATGACTATACCGATTGGCTTTTCCCACAAGTTCGAGATCGTTTGACCGATTTCCGTGTTATCTTTACATTTTGTATCATGATTGTTGAGCGAGTTCGAATCCCTTGAACCTAGCTCATATCAATAATCGAGTTCTTGCCTTGCTTCCTATCATGTAAGATCAACTTGATCAACTCATCAATATTTGCCGCAAGTGAAGGATTTGCTTATGTGGAGTGCACTCCGCTCTTCTTTAAACACAACTTCCTCCTCAACTCCAACTTCTTCCTCAACTTCAACTTCAAGTTCAATGTGAGGTTGTCATCGAACCACGAGCCTTTCTCTTGCCTCTCTTAACTCCCTATCTCGAGCTAGGAGTCGGAGAGTGTGATTGATGTTGTTGTCTACCGGTGTTATAGGTGTCGGGTTACTCTGGGTCATATGCCTCCTGCACACACTTCACACAACACAAACGAAACCCAAGACAAGGAAGATCCAAACTCAAAATGCAAGAAATGAAATGTTAGATTAACAGTAAACATCTTTTTTCGAATACTAGACCGTGTACCCCGGCAACGACGCTAGATAAACTTGACTCTTTACCGCTACTATACTATCCCAACTATAGGCCAAGTGCAACCTATAGTCGGGTGTAGGATAGGATATGTATTTCAATATCGACCCAGGCAGACTATCTATCCTTACTTTCATTTACACGTTATCTAGAAATTGAATTGTGGTTAAAGCTAACGAAACTAAACAAGCAAGCAATTAAAATTTGGTGAATTCAAATGAGAAAGGATCACTCCGACATTGCTCCCTCTAGTCCCGTGTTAATACGCAAAGATGAAACTCTAGTGTGGTAGATATGTTCATATACCATTAGGAGATAAACAAAATTAGATAGGAAAAGTATTCAAGTGCTTCCTAGCGCGCTTAATCAATTGACTAAGGCTTGCATAAAAACTTCTTGGAAGTTATTGCACTTGTCCCTAAATTGAGGGATGCTCCGAACTAGCCTAGAGAAGGTTACACGAATTGTCAAGAATGGGATATAAGAAGATCTCCTTCTAGGTCAATTGGTCCCTAAATTGAGGGATTTGATCAAGAACACCCAATTTCCATGCATCGTAGCTCTCTCACACTCTCTAAGCATTGAAGAAGAAACCTTCAATCTCTCTCTAGAACTCCCCCTTTCAAATTTAGTTCACTCTCCTTTATATAGTTCGAGTGCACATGTCACGGTCTCATATCACGCCCATGAAGTCGAAGTGAAACCGTGATCTGGACGCAGAACGCATTGTTTCAATAACAAACTTCTTAGGTTGCTTGTTGAATTGACGGTTTGAAGAACACAATCTTGGTAATGCCTGAGAACTGCGCGAATCCTTCTGGAAATGTGCAGACTTCATGGTTTGCTTGTCCACTTCACGGTTTGCGTCCGTGATAATAGCACCAAAACCGTGATCGGGCCACTTTCGTCCATTTTGCTCCTTTTTTGCCCTCTTTTGTCCGACTTTCGATCTCAGTGCCAAGATTACATGCTAAGGTCCGAAACATGACACAACGCGAGCAAACCTAGCGTAAAATAGCTCCAATGAAGGTGCAAATTGATATGATCCCAATTCGAGAATCCACTCAAACTTGGATAAAAAAACAGAATTGCACAACGTCGAACTCTTTTGGGGTTTTCTTCTTTCTTCAATAGCACAAAAATAAAGGATAACTTGCGGGAATCGATCAAACAGATCCGAACTCGTGAGAAGTGCCAATTGGTATATGAAACCAATCAAACAATCTTGAACCCGTGGATAAGGCCAACCTATATAGTCGATGCTCGCCACAACTAGACGCGTTCTCTAGTTGATAAGAGACAACTCAACTCTCCCAAATCCTCAAAGGAGAGATTAAGCAAACCCGTTCACTCGAACTTGAAAACACTCTATTTGATTGCTGAAAACTGAATGAAAAATACAATAGTTTGGCCTCCTTGTATAGGCAACAAATTTACATCCAAAACTATTATGGTAAACAAATCCTACTTGAAAAAAGGAAAATAGAAACCTTAACAAACAAGTAAACAAAGTCTTAGAATCCTCACTCACAAAGAAAAGGAAATAAATTTGACTTTTTCAATCCTTAATTCTAGCCTTAGAATCCTCACTCACATGAATTGTGTTCACACCTTATATTCCTTTCACACTTGTATTCCTTTCACACCATCTGTTCTCACATTGTGTTCACACCATGGGGGGATTTCTTCATTTTGGGCTGAATCTTCACTCCTTTCTCCAAGCCTATCTTCTCGTGGTTTGGATCCACAAATTGAAGCAATGTGATGGGCTTTCCTCGATGAAATTCCATATCCATCAAGAATGATCCCATTTGATCCTTGTATCGTTGTATTCGGGCCTTCATCTTTGGACCGCGAGAAATACATGTTCTGCCAATCGATTTCACATCAACAAAATCGCAGGCCTTGCTTACAGAACCATTTTCACCCATCTTGCATGCTCCCAAGATCTCTTTGAATCTCTTAATTCATCTCTTGGCCCATAGTCCAGGTGAAGATCTCATATGAGCTCGAGTAACGTCACGTGGGGTGAGTGGGGTCA